AACAACATTTAAAAACATATCTATTTTGTCATTAAATATATCAATATCTGGCTGCTGAGCAATCAGAGAATTGAGCAGAGAAATAGCCTGATAAGTGGGAGCAAACTGAGCAGTACAGGTGCGAACCGGCGGTGCTGATAGTAGTCGACAAGCACGCAATCGCATGCAGCGTTGGGGTGCGTACAAAGAACAACGGCTGAGAGTTGCAGGATTGTCTATTCTGTCGTTGAGCAACCGATAATAGTGTTGCATAAATTTGCGCTTTCGCTTTACCTATGGGTACTACAATCTATTCTATGATGTTCCTGGCATTTTTCATATCTGTAGGCGACAGTTATTTTTCATTAGGTGGCGTCGACAGCTAGTTGGCCAAAACACTTCTATATATCAAACAAAATATATTATATATAAACGAAATATCGCTCGTCTGCGTAGGTCATAAGTGTCTTGTTTCTCCAACGATTATCATCCAAGCTCGCCCACCTAAAAGTGAATTTCTTAGTAAAACATCAGATAATGTGTTCTTATAAAAATGACACACGATAGAACGTAAAGGCCGCAGGCATTTTCCCCAATTTGCGAGGACCCGCGACACTTTCTTCCAAGAAACGATGGGTTTACGGTTTTATCAACTGTTTATGATATATTTTTTTTTTCAGGACACGTGCCATTTAGAAATTGGATATCTGATGTCGTTATATATGATATATGTGTGTTTTTATTAGCGTCAAATTGTTCAATCAATAAGAGTGGTGCACGTAAAGTTTTTGATGGGTATTATGGGAATGGATATCAAAGGAGACTGATTTTTTGTTTGTATCTTTTAAGTAACTTTAGCTTTAGAACCAGACCATTGATCTAACTGTAATCTAACTGTATCTGCTGATTTTCACCACCCTACAACCCGCCACAAACTAAAGTTTCATCCCAATTATCTGGACGAGTGGCGGTCTTTCACCGTGCGTTTTTCAAGGCACTTTCTTCCACGCACAACCATTCTTTGGAATCAACTTCCAGCAGCAGTATTTCCGTACCGATAGAACAACATCACCTTCAAGAAAACAGTATAGTCCTTTTTAAAAGGTCGGCAGCACACCTGCAATGCCGCTGGTGTTGTGGGTGATCATGGGCGGCGGTAGTCATTTACCATCAGCTGAGCCGCATGCTCGTTTGCCCCCTGTGTTGTAGAAAAAAAAATCTAATTAGATCAATAGTCTGGTCAAGCAAGTTCATTCATCCATTTATATCAGCCATTAATTGTCCACTATTGATAATGGGTCTCCCCTGTGAGAGGGATTTTGCCTGTAGTCACCATGCTTGGCAGGCGGGTTTGCAACTGCAGTTAGGTTTTTGGTGACGTTTTAAAAGGGCGAATGCCCATTCTTCCATAGTTCCTTTAATCGCTTTTTAAGACACGCACTGACAAGAAAAGGATGGCTCATTCTATGTTTTTTTTTTAATTGTTCATAATGAAATGGCAGTTCCATCCGCGTTATTGATATACACTGGCGGGGCACCAGTGAAAGATGATAGGCGAGGATGATGTCGGGTCAGTTGGCCTATCGGGACGTATTTGACAATTATTTTTCACGATGATTTCCAGGAGGAACCGAGTGGAGGTCGACATGAGAGGGTACATTGTTAGCAAGTCCTTATTACTAACAATCTTTCTCCCCATGATTCTATGTTGGGACCGCTCATTCTATGTTGGAACCACACGACATTACATAGTAAACATACGGCAAGCTTGAATACCTTCTGTTAAAATAACTCAGACAACGAACATTTGGGTTGTATTCAGAATACTCAGAGTCGAATTAATTCAGAAAAGACCTAGATTGATGGAGAGGAAAGGGATTGTTAGTACTGGAGATTAAGAATCCCATTGCTAGCAATATATCCAACCAGGTCGACCTCCTCGCGGTTCCCCCTGGAAACTATCATGATTAATTCCTGATGAATTCATCATGATGGGCTAACTGGCCTGTTTTCATCTTCATCGATCACCCTTCACTGGTGCTCCGCCAGCGTATCCCATTAGCGCAGGCGGGGTTACCACTACATTTTCAACCAATAAAAAAAAATTGATGGAGTATCAAACTGGAGACCATATTTACGTAAAGTATAAAACCATATTTATGAAAAAAAAAATACAATAATGACAATTGTAGCGAGGTGTCTACCACAATGCCACGAAGGTCATTTGTATGTACAATGAAGTGATTTCATCGCTCATTCTGAATCGATACTTCGAATCTGATATTTTTTATTTTCTAATCATTTTTACTTTCACATCGATTTAATTATAATTTTGTATCGATTCTTATTCTTTTTTATTGTAACGGTTAATGAGTCAAATATTAGCCCAAAATCTTTCTAAACTAAAAACAATGTCAATGACCTCAACCAGGTCCTTTACCGCGTAACCGTTAGGCGGTGTACGGATAAGAAGGGATCGTTTGGGGTGTGACACCTCAGTTACAAGTTGGGTCGTTGCAGTATCCCCATTCCGCCAAATTCTATCTGCAGTGGCCCATTGTGACGATTGAAATTGTCGTTTTTCTGGTCGAGTAAAGAATACCTTTTTCTACTTGTATACATACGATTTCGCCTTTTTTTTATACAACTTAGAATGGCAAATAAGCTGACGGCCCATCTGATGGAAAGTGGCAACCGTCGCCTATAGACATGAGCAGTACCATGGACAAAACAGAGTATACTGTTTCGCCCATGATATCCCTCCCGCGTTGCCATTCCTGAGGACTCAGGTATTATTCGTCTGTACTCTGTAAATTCACTGCCATGACACCCTTCATACCGAAACACAGCCATGCAAACACAACTGCTTCACGGTATAAACACGAATGAGACAAAGGTACCCAAGCAAACGACTTTTAATTTTCCAAATCGAATTATAACTGACGGAGTTATGAGGTAACAAACATTAAAAAACTACACACGAATTAAAAACCTTCTTTTCTTTGAAATTGGTTAAAAAAACCTTATATCGAACTACGTGTTCAAAGTTCTAATAGTAAGCTATATCTTCTTCTTGCAAAGACAGAACTTTTCCCAATAGTGGGAAACTAATGTACGATAATCAATAGCGTTGTTTTGTACCGACTCCTATATCGCAACATTCATAAATCCATTGTCTCAACCCTATGTTCACGAACAGAAGTTAACCGGTTTAATTATCCGGCTAATTAACCGTTAATGGAATGTTTATAAGAATATAACGCTTGTGTTATTGTCTAACAAAATTATTTAATATAAAGCTATTACTTTTTGAAATTGAACAAAGTGTGTGAGCATTTATGCCTATATACATATCTATCTATACACCGATAGCGCGGTATACACCGACGGGGCACCAGTGAAGGATGATAGGTGAGGATAAAGTAGGTCAGTTAGTCTATCGTGACAAATTCAACAAGAATAGTTCATGGTGGTTTCCAGGGGGAACCACGTGGTGGTCGACCTAATAGGGCATATTGCTAGCAATGTGGCTGTGAAACTCCATTGCTAACAATCCCTTTCCCCCTCGCATACGAACTAGGTGGGTAAAGCTAGTTTAAAAATTGAAATCTGTACAGTGTAATGTAAATATACAAGATTCATTTAAGCGTTTACAAGTTGCATATTTAGATATAGAAAACATGTTTTCGTTTATTAATTTAGTTATCTTAAATAATAGTTAAAATGCATCAATGCATCGATTTATATCAGATTATTTTGCAGCGTTGACAATAATCTCATTGAACTGCTGACGCTAGATTTAATCAGTTAATGCTTTTGTACCGGTTATATCCAGTTATATTTGGTATCTTTCAATTTCATGTTGTTTTAATGAGTTTTAACGTCACAAAGTATGTGAATATTATTTCGACCGATACGTGGAATATGTTTTAATCCGTTTTAATGTTTCGATCAAAGTTTGTTGAGATGGTTGGATCGAAAAATAGACATCAACTTTTAATTTATCTTATATTTTATTTAAATACATATTTTAACCGTGCAACGCAAGTGACAGACGAAATTAGAGAGAGATATACAATATGGCTTGCGCTGAGTTATTCCCAAAGCGATAACAGATGGCGCTATGTGTACCCTTTACATAAATATGATGATTAAATTTAACCTAATCACAACAAAATTAATTACGAATTTACGAGAAAGGTTTCGTACCTAACTTAACTTACGTACGTATTATATTTTGAAATTATTTTGTATAATTTTCATTGTCATCATATCGTCATAGTCGTAGAATACTGGCGGATCTGACAAAAATTACATATAAAGATCCGTCAGTATTCTACGACTATGACGATATTAGCTTTTAGTGTCTAACGCTAAAAATAAACCTCCCCCTTAGGGGGTTTTGTCAGTAGTTGGCATGCTTGGCAGGCGGATTGGCAACCGCAGTTAGGCTTTACAAATGTTTTAGAGGGATGCTGCTGCCCATCCCTTGCCCTCCCTTAGTCGCCTCTTACGACACTCACGGGGAAGGAAGGGGTAGCCTATTCTATGCCGGGATCATAGAGATATTCATTGTATATACTTTAAATTGTATCTATTAAAAATAAAGATTTAATATAATGGCGGATTTATGACGCAGATGAATCTTTTACAGTCGACTTTTAATAGGCTGAAATAAAACTATAGAATGTTCGAAGGTAAAAAAAAGCTCGGATAATGGCATTTTTTTAATGGATGTTAATGGAATGGTAACCACACCCGCTCTATCGGTATACACCGGCGGAGCACCAGTGAAGGATGATAGGTGAGGATGAAGCAGGTCAGTTAGCCCATCGTGCCGGATTCAACAAGAATTGTTCACGATGGTTTTCACAGGGAACCACGTGAAGGTCGACCTAATAAGGCATATTGTTAGCAATGGGGCTGTCAAATTCCATTGCTAACAATCCCTTCCCCCCCTGTTATATGTGCAATATGCTGTTGGTGTTCTTTTAAATAAATAAATCTTTATATTGTTGCAGTCATCCCGTACAAGCAACGCCAGTGGAGATGCGTGCGAACGCCGCGACCCCTGTCAGCACGGCGGTGTCTGCATCAGTACAGACGACGGGCCAATATGCGAGTGCCGGGACGGTGATTATGAAGGGGCCTTCTGTGAAAGAGGTGAGTTTAGACATAAGTGGTGATTGACGGCGGATAACATATATCAATATATACTATATATATATATATATATATATATATATATATATATATATATATATATATATATATACTATATATAAACTCATTAAACCAGAATTCCAAAATTATATGCCATTGTAAGACATGCGCGATATCGATGTGGCTGATAAACTTTTTATTTTTTTTTCAAGGAAGAAAGGGATTGTTAATTAATGGGGATTTAATAGCCCCATTGCTAGCAATATAGGGTAAATTGCTTTATATTATGAACATATCTTGGCTAATTCTTATGGTATTTGTCATGATGAGCTAACTAGTATACTTTCATTCACTTACTTAGAATAGCGGCGAATACTGACGGCGCACCTGATGGAAAGTGGTAACCGTCGCCTATAGGCGACGGTTACGACTTTCCATCAGGCTTTCATCAATTGTTTGCCATTCTATGTTGTATAAAAAAAAAATAGACATGAGCAGTACCATGGACATAACAGAGTATACTCTTTCGCCCATGATACCCCCCCCCATGCGTTGCTATTCCTGAAGACTCAGGTGTTATTCCTCTGTACCCAATAAATTTACGCCATATCCCACCCTTCAAACCGAAACACAGCCATGCAAACACAACTGCTTCACGGTTGAAACACGAATGGGACAGAGGTGCCCAAGCAATCGACTTTTGTACAAAGTCTCCCTCTGGTGGAATAATGACCTATCATTCTATTGTCATCCATTAAAAAAATTTTTCCGCCATCGATATGGAGAGGAACTCGATAGTAGCAACATAGAAAAAAAAGTAGAAATTAATCTCTTTTGTAGTCGTGCAAAAGCCGACAATATAAGTACCTACGGCGTCTCTCTCTCCGCGAAACCCCCGGTTCGTAGAATACTTTCAATAAAAGTTCACAGGGTTGTCACAACAGCAAATTCAAATCATCTTTATTCCAATAAACTTGTTTTTCTCAAACATGCTTGGAAATGTGAGCATTATTTTGACAATCTTCTTCGAGATAAATCAAAATTGTCGTACTGGCTAGATACGTGCGGGCAGCGGCCGGCAAAAGTTGTATGAAATTCCATATCTGTCGTGTTTTGCGGCCAGATAAATTACTATGTAAACTCATATCTGTCCTGTAATTTAAAGAGTAAAATTGTGTTTTTGATTTCCGCGCATTGTTTGCGAAAAGTACTATACAAGCCTTGGCCACAACTAGGCATTGATGGAGTCACGTATGTGTGCCTCGGCTACGTCTTAGCTCACATTTGCACGTTCGTCCATCAGTGCCTCAGTTGCTAGCCGCTGCAGTAATGTACTATATAAGCACTTTTAAATAATATTTTTTTACGTATCCAGTGTTTGGAAAGTTGTTATCTGTTGAGAACAATCTGTAAGAAACTCAACAGTATAATGACATATGAAATTATAGAATTAGTGTAACTATAAAACTTTGTTATAAAACAAAGTTTTACATAGTAAATTTTATTATATATTTAACAAATTATATTAATAAGATAATATAGTTAATTATTTATATATATCATACTAGCTGTTGCCAACTGGTAGAGTAGCTAGGAGACTTGCTGTATTTCCACACAGAATAGCTATAGAGATGCGTTGACCAAAGTATAGGCCAGCCTTCCGGTCACCAGAGGTCTCCACGAGTCGGCGTGATATCTCTTTGAAAAAACTATTACATAGTTGTTTTATTTTATATAAATTTTTACCCGCGACTTCGCTTTACTGAGCGAGATAAAAATGAGCCTATATCCTTTACCATCCCATATAGTACGTATATATATTAAATTTCAAAGGTATTCATTAAGTCGTTAAGACGCTAAGAGGTAACAAACAAACTCATTTTCTCATTTAGGATTAAATGGACCACACGATTTGTTTTGTTGGTTGGATTTATTTTTGTAATTTAAAAGTCATAATTATCATGTCAGCCATTAAGCCGTTCGTGATTCACTGTTCATCCCAAAAGTTAGGCTATTGTAACTACTTACCATCAGGTGGTTCGTATGCCTGTTTGCCACCTCAGTGGTATATAAAAAAAAAGGTTGATTGGCAGAGAATGCTACTAGCATTAAGTCCATCTTTTGTACCTCATTTTATTTTGGTCAATAAATTTAATTAATTAAAATATATTGTAATGACCTTGATGCTTTTCATGTATGCAGGCTTGGATTACCATTATCCATTAGGTGGGCCGGCAGCCTCTTCACCATTCTTACATAATTGTTTTTAAGTTATTCAACTTAATTTGTACGTACATGGTAATTACTTACACCTTCTGTAATCCATAATTGGAAACGCAGTCATCCCAGATAACTGAATGACACGGGTTGTAATCCAATTAAAAAGTTAGATTTACATTAAAGTATTTATTATTCTCGATCGATTTAAAACTTCTAGCGCACGTTTTAAAGTGATTTCTAACGTAATTTTATAACGATTTATATAACAAGAGCTGCATATTTCATTTTGCTTGAGAATTAAAAAAAAATGTAGTAATAAGAAAAGTAAAAATATTATATTTGTATCGTCATCATCATCATTATGGGCTTCATCTCCCTACCTTTATATATATATATATATATATATATATATATATATATATATATATATATATATATATATATATTTATTTATTTCACTCACACTTACCACTTTCGATCCACTCCGACCCCGTACAGGAAAACCCAGTGTAGAAAATCTCCAGTAAATGGAGTGACGACCTCAAATGCACTGCAGGGTGTTAGTAGATGCAGGTGGCTCAGGACCTTTCCTTACGTCGATCTATGGGGTAGGGGTATCATGACAATGATGATTTAGTCCCAAAACTAAGCAAAGCTTGTACTGTATGTTACACTAGATAAATATATATAATACATAGAAATTATCTCTGCATAGAATAAGCCACCCCTTCCTTTCCTGTGGGTGTCGTAAGAGGCGACCAAGGAAGGGCGAGGGATGGGCAGCAGCGTCCCTTTTAAAATATCTCTAAAGCCTGACTGCGGTTGCCAATCCATCTGCCAAGTGTGGTAACTACAGGCAAAGCTCCCAAGCGGGAGGCTTATGTTCAGCAGTGGACAGTTAAAGGTTGATATGATGATGACGATGATGTATAGAAACCACCCAGACCAATACAAACAGACAGCCCCATTGCTAGCAGTATGCCCTATTAGGTCAACCTCCACGTGGTTCCCCCTGAAAACCATCGTGAACAATTCTTGATGAATTCGTCACGATGGGCTAACTGACCTGCTTCATCTTAACCTATCATCATTCACTGGTGCCCCGCCGGTGTATACCGATAGCGCGGGTGGGGTTACCACTCCATTATAACCCATTAAAAAAATACAAACACACATATGAATAAAAAAGTTTGTATTATGCGGGAATCGAATTCGCCTCTATTGGATTATAGAATGGTGTGTTAAGTCACAAAGCACGCTGTAATTTTACTGCCATTTATCTTAAATCGTCGATCTATAAAAAGAAAACAAATAAAACAATTCCTCGTTGTGTGAATGAGCCCTTATCGTACCAAATATAAGGTTTGCATGTGGGAACGTCATTCAAACTGTCAAGTTCTTCGCAGAGACCTTGCAGGTGTAATCCGTTTGTTACTAATTTTGGAATACATGTGTAGGTGTCAAAGTCAGTGACATCTTTGATCATTGTTCTCAAGTCTAAAGGTTATGTGGTTTAATTAAAGGTTTAGTTAATTTAACTGTACTTGAGATAATGTAGCCTTTTATAAACGTTAAACGTTGTAAAATGTAAAATACCAATTTTAAAGTGCTGGTTTTTTCTAACTGAACTTTTATTACTGTCTGTCAAGCGTGGCAACTATTGGCAATATGTTCAACAGATAATGGCTGATATCATTATCATCAATATGGTATACTATATATATATATATATATATATATATATATATATATATATATATATATATATATATATATATACATATATATATATCGCTTTCAGCGATAAGGTCGCCCATTGTTTTCTCATTATGATTATTATATGTAATTGTTTATATTTATAATGAGTTTACTATTGTAAGCTTTTAGAGAAAGCAATAAAGAGTATCTATCTACTATTTACATCTCGCGGCATCGTTTGCATACGTCAGTATATAAAGTATTCTATATGTAAAGTCATTATCAGCCAGGATCAAAATATCTTTAAAAAAATTTCACATTTATATTATTAATTAGCGGCCCGTCCCGGCGTCGCATAGGTGGACATTTTTGCATTTTAAAAAGTAGCCATTAAGGTTGCACACGCGACGGAAGCTTAAAGATGGAGTAACTTCTAACGTTTTCCCAACATTTCCCTGCACTGCTCTGCTCCTATTGATCGTAGCGTGATGAAAAGTATACTATAACCTGCCCGGGAGTATGAAGAATAATTGTACCAAGTTTCGTTAAAATCCGTCGAGTAGTTTTTGTTTCTATAACGAACATACAGACAGATAGACAAAAATTTTACTGATTGCATTTTTGGCATCAGTATCGATCACTAATCACCCGCCGATAGTTATTTTGGAAATATATTTCATGAACAGAATTGATCTCTCTACAGATTTATTATAAGTATAGATAAAATGATGGAGCTGTGAAGTAACAAACATTTATTATTTATTTATTACAGATTTGGTACAGATTAATTGTTATAATCTATCTGATGACAGGTAAATGCATAAGACATGTGACACCCCATAGGGACACCGCAATGTACAAAGAGAGAGAACCACCAATGATAATAACGAATATAAATAATAAAAATTAAAATAATATTTAATTATAATTACTAAATAATGTATTTATAATTAATTATAAATAATTTGACGTAAACAAAAATTATAAATGCTTATAGTGTGTGTGTGCGTGTGTGTATGTGTGTGTGTGTGTGTGTGTGAGTGGACTTTAATTATCTATACTCTGCAGGTAATAATAAATAA